GTATCATTACGGTTTCACCAATGTCGAATTCTTTATGCTTTCTTGGTTTATCGTGATAATATTTCTGATTGCTTTGACGTTGTACTACATGACCTTGTATATTTGGTTTTAATAAATCTAGCCTGGTCCTCAGTTGTCTTTGTAAAAATAATTCTGATTTGTAATGTTTGTGAGTAAATAAAGACACTGTTGCAACACGTGTGGCCACGTCCAAGCTTTATTCTAGACTGCCCGTACTCCCAAAAACTACAGACTCCCTCGCACAATTGTCATTCATAATATATTAAATACTACAACGAACTACTGACTCCCTAGCACAATTGTCATTCTTAATATATTACAAAAAATGTCACTAAAACGGTGAACGTCCAAACCAGTAGACTGGCAAAGTTCTGACTTCTTGTTTGTTTTACAAAAAGAAATAATTAATTGTTGCTTTAGTCCATTTAGCGTGATCGCGAAAACTAACTGAACCTGACAGCTAAAGAAATCCCGACTGGACGCATCTCCGGGCATTTGACTGATATTAATTATTCATGATGTCATTGATTATTCGTGAGTGAGTGTGTGAAAGTGAACGTGACCTTTTAAAGGTTGATTCGATTTGATCGCAGAGATGGATATTATCTTTCTATGTGCAAAGGCGATACTTTCATTCATGCTTACTGAAAACAAGTCGATTTCATTCTCCAATCTATATAAGTATTCTTTCAAAATCGCTGGAACCTCAGAGGTAAAAGGTCACGTAATTTAACATAGACGTATACAGCTGCACTTTGATTCGGTGTTAATGCTAGTCAACATCTTTTAATTAGCATAATCACCGGAGTTATTCCGCTCCGGTTTTCACACCAACGCAAGGGGTCGTCTGCAGATGCGTCCAGGCGGAATTTCTTTCGCAGTCACGCTAGTTTTCGCGATCACGTTAACGTTGCTAAATTGACAATTAATTATATTTTTTGTAAAACAAAATAGAAGTTCCGACTTTGCCAGTCTACCAAACTAGCTGTATAACTCAGTGCAATTTGATAAGCAATATTCTTCCTAATCGTCGGCTTTGGATCGGAAATATTTGTCTTATTATAAATTACTATTTGGTGTAAAAACAACATTATGGTTATTGAGTGATTTGTTAAAATTTGAAAATATAAATAAGTCATTGATTGTTAAATTGAATATTATATTACCAATATTTCCAAATATTTAGGTATACCTAGCAAACAATATTCAAATATTCGATATACCAAAAACATATCGTTGATTAAATAAACATTACCTTGGTAGACATGGATGCGATTGAAAGCACATTAGGCATGTTTGGATTAGATTACTATTCAAAACGACACTACTAGTCGAGTGGAGTTTTAATGAAATGAAACGCAGCTCATTATTACATACAAATGGGTTGGGGAATACAGCCAACATTGCAAGGCTCGACAGAGTTAGACACACTACCAGTAAACTAGTGAAAGGATACCTAAAACATCTGTGAATTTTTCATATCAACCCTATCATTATACCCACTATGTGGCAAATAAAATATTTAATTTTTAGGACATTATACAATATGACTGACTAATAAGGCAGGTATCATTGAAAAGCTCTCAATAATCATCAACTGAAATAGGAAGCACCACATCCACTACAATAATTTCAAGCACGACACACGATATTTATGTGAAAATTGGAGGTTTTTTTTTATTATGTATTGACAAAAGAATGCGAGTGGATCATAAACACTTATTATGCTTACACAAACAACACACAACGTATTCACCAGTGCACTAATAGTACATAACAAGTAAACATATATCTTGTTCATGAATATATGGATATGTTGATTTTGTTTCTCTGTTTACACATGCTGACTTGAATGTTGTTGCTAGTTCATTAGCATTCCTAAAAGTGCAAATTGTGTTAAAAAGTAACATATTTTGTACAATTGTTGAAGTTAACTTTTTCAGAATACCCAACTGAAGCTATGTATTCTAGCGTTTTTAAAACATTAATACCATAAAGTATTCCATTAATCGACATTGTGACATTTACAGATAAAATCATGTAATGGTTTGGAAAAAAGCTTTGGGGAATTTGAATACGATTTATATTAAATCTGAGCTTATTGTCGATAGAGATTATTCCGGAAGTGCTGTACAACAAGCTATAATAATTATAAATATTAATGGTTTCATAAAGTTGTCTCACATACTTACTGACACTAGATGTTTTAAGGTGTAAATCAGAGAAAGGAACTACAAAAGTTGTGTATTTTTGTATCTTGTTCAAACACTAGTACATCAACGTATATGTTAATGTTTGTCAATCTGCACTAGTCTGTCATTCTATCAAGACAAAATCTGCCAATTTTTTAATAAAATAAAATCAATTGTCGAAAGCGTTGAAATGTGCGATTGTTTAATACTATCATACAGTACCATGACTATGAAATGCGGGTTAAAATATATCAATTTTGTTCTATCTGCATTATCGTTGATTAACCTCCGAAAGTCTGCTTTGTTTGTTCATTCATTTCCAGATTTTAAAACTATAGCTTCTAGTATAGCGCCTACTGATGGTTCAACAGAATTACCTATTACACAGTTTGATGAAGCTACTACTATAGGTCAGTTTTTTTTCAATTAAAGTCATTATTCAAGATTGGGACTTCACAGAGCATGTTATTGTCAATATACCAATAACATGGTAACAATACCCCAAGATAATAATATTTCCTAAACAAGTCAAATTTCCTCAATTGTTAACTTTAATTCATTGTTTTAAGATTTCACAACACAAGCTATACATACAAGCATTAAAGAATCATCTTCACAGTCAACAACTGCATTAAAAGAAGAGGCTACTTTTACTGGTATGGTCATATGGAGAGTAATGTTTGTCTCGAAAATTTACAACTTCAAACCGCAACTGGTCGA